GCGCGCTGCCCCGTCCCACGCCGGGCCCTAGGTGACAGGCGCGGCCCGACGCGATGGGGGAGGCAGCAAAGCGCTACGCAGGGCGGCCGTCCCCGCTCCCCGGGCCCCCGGCCCGACTTGCTGACCTCCATGCCCACGGCGGAAAGCTGAACTAACGCTCTCACATCTTTGGCTACTGAGGCCCGTGCTCCGCCCTGGCTTTCCACCTTGCAGCTTGGAGCCTAATTTAGAATCAGCATGTGCAGCACTCGTGCTCCTGCGGTGGCTGACTCACAATGACAAGTCTGACATCCTCCGGGGCGGGGGGACCCGGCAGAGCCCTGGACCTAAGGGGGGGGGGCAGAGGTCTTGTCCCGCAACGAGCTCTACTCCACCACAGCGCACTGTGACGGTGGACAAATTACTCTGAGGTTCCGGATCGCACTCAGGGCTTCTTGCCATCAAAATGCTCGCCCACAAAATGAGGGGTCAGGAAAACACTGTGGCCACCACCGTTACCACGGGTACCTTAATGCTTTCTGTGCCTCTGTGTCATCCCTCATATTCGCAGTCCTCGGTTGGGACATCCAGTGGGCCTTTCTTTGGTCATGTGCCCACCCCACTCTCACTGTCCGGGGAAAAAGAAAGCAGTATTTTGTTCTTTTGAGTGATGAAGTGGAAAGCAAAGCCCTACTTCCTTCCCAGACATGATCGGTGGGGGATTTATCCCCAGTACAAAGTACGTTCAGTTGGTGGAAAGAAAACAAACAAAAAAATGCTATGGACACATTTTTAAAACAAGAATTATTCAATCTAGCTTCTTCCTCTACTGATATCCTTAAAATCAGAAGTTTAATGTGCAAGCTAGATTTGTTTCTATCACATCTGAGAATAAACACATAATTACACCCTTGAAATATACAACTGTATTCTGAAATCTGAAATTGTCTCATGTACCACCAGTGAGAGCTGTCCCACATGATCACAAATGTCTGCCTGGCAGGTGGAGCATTGACAAAAACAGCATGAAAAGCTAATCACTGTTAACAGATCCATCTTCATCAGAGGGGTCACTGGCACGAGTAATGGAAAGGGACTCAGACTAACTGAAATAGAAAAATAACTAATTGAAAAAAGTACCAGGTAGTTCCTAGAATCAATGGGAAAGTTGGAAAACTGGCTCAGAAAACAGGCAGAAATGAAGGGAGGCTTTTTTGCAAGGGTGAGGTGGGGTAAATTGAGGGGGGAAAAAAGCCAAGAAATGACAGAGAGAAAGGCCACCTGCACAGGAGGGGGACATTCAGTGGCAGCATGTGTTCCTCCCTAAGAGCCGGCAAGCGGGAGATTACCTCGTGCTTAGCCGGGTCCAGCACTGCACCACCAGGGGGCTGGTGGAGTCCCGCCCCAGGAGAGGTGGCGAAGGCCAAGAGGTAGGGCCAGGACAGGCGTACATCAGGCCAAGGGCTGGACACTGCGGGAGACGGAAGGAGAGGGTCCCGGTCTTTATGAGAGCGAGGTTGGCCTAATGGTTGACCTTGAAGGTGTTGTTTTGAGTACGACCTAGAGGTGCCTCACATCGGGAGCACTTTCAGACCCCAACATACAAACAAAGAAGCGGAGGCTCTGAGGAGTTAGGTCACCCGGCTCAGTTAGTAAGCGGTGTAGACTGGATTCCAGTTCAAGACCTTCCTGACTAAGAGCCCGCGCTTGTCACCATCACTCCTCATTCCTGCCCCTTCTCAGTAGAGGGTGCTTAACAAGCTCAGAGAAGCCAAGACTTGGTGCTGCAAGAAAGGCCCTAACGACCTGCGAGCAGGAGGAGATGGCAGGTTCCTGGGGCATCAGGAGGGCTTCCTAAAGGAAGCAGCATTCTGCATGGGCTGTGAGGGTCCACCAGGATTTCAACAGGTGAGTGTGGGTAAGAAAGAGGATGTGGCAGTTTGAGGGAGACAAACAAGACAAAATGGTTAGAAAATGTGCTGAAGATTACTCAGCTCAGCTAATAACAGACAGAAACGAGACTTACCTCCGGGTCCAACATGATTCTAGACTGGCTGACTTTTGTCTCTGCATGGTGTTGTAGTTCTACTGAAGTTCTGAGGAAGGAAGTCTAGGGGTTCTTGACAGATGTCCTCACCCTTCTCAGTAACACAGAAGATAAAGTCCCCAACAGGTAAAGGGTCACCCAGAGGTAAGTTGAGTTCATAGCAATGGTAGTAAGAGTGAAAACAAATCTTTGGTAACCTGAAAGACATGCTTCTCAGAAGGAAAATTTCTTCATGTCATGAGGTCATTGGCTCCAAGACCAGTGGGTGTCATGGATGATGTCAGCTGTTGATTCACTGTCTGATGGACCTGCACAGGGAGTGGGTGGGAGGCTGGGCAGTGGCTAGGGGAATCTGATTCCTCCTGCCCCTACAATGATCTCTTCCTGGGCCTCCTCACTGTGGTGGCAGGAGACAGGTAAAGGGATTTCTCCAATGTCTGAAGGTTACAGCAGGACAGGAGAATCACCTGCTGATTTTCAGCCTTAGAGATGGACTGTTGTTGGCTCAAGGAGCTGGGGTGTTCTGTGCATCATACACCTTCCCTGGCCCCTAAGGTGTGGCACTGAACTGGGAGTCAGAAGACTTTGGTCTTAGCCTCCTCCAGTGGTTCACAGCCTGAGTGCATAGCTAACATTTATTGGAAGTTAAGCATGTGCTACTAGCCTAATGGACAGGTTTTCTTTGACCTCTATTGCACTGATGAAGAAACAGAAGTTCAGAGAGACTAAGCAACTTGTCCAAAGTCATAGAGCTAGTCAATGGTGTGGCCAAATTTAAAACCAGGTTTATCCAACTCCAGATCCCATATTTGATCCATTTTGCTATGAATTAAACATGATTCTGATTTCGAGAAACTCCTCATGGCAGTGAGGAAGCAGGGGGAACTGCGATTTACCATAACAGTGTAGCAGTGTGGAAATAAAAAGCAGAGCACAGGAGCCCTGGGAGGACGCTCTAACACTGATGCGGAATGCATCAGGGAGGCCTTCTTAGAGGAGGTGGCCTTTGAGCTCAGGGGTGAATGAGTTTCTGGCCAGAAGAAGGGCTCCTGGGTAGAGGGAGAAGTATGTAGACATGAAAATGGCAAACACATTTAGCAAGAGTGAGTAGGCTGGCGACCACAATGGTGAGTCAAGAGCTTATGCCATCAGGGTCTACAGTTGGCATGGATGATGCCAACTGGAGAGGCTTTGAAAAGAAAGCCCCTTAACCCTTCCAGCTGAGTCCTAAAGCTGTGCTGGTTATAATCGTCTCTCACGAGAACAGAGTAGTTGGACATTTGAGCCTACTTATCGTTCTGTTCTGTAATCACTACGTTGCTCATTTCAGATGTGCCAGAGTAGCATTTTTGGTGAGAACGGTTTGCTGAGAACTGTAAACACTCTACATGCAGCTGCAGGCTTCTCAGTGTGTTACTCATACACCGTGATCATTCGATCATGAGGCACAACCATCTGCTCAGAACTTCTTTACAGTAGAGGGAAATTTGCATCCTAGCTCCATGTCTTCTGAGAACTGTACACCTCAGACACCTCCTTCCCTTTTCTGAGCCTCAGTTGGATGAGATGACACCAACGCTAAGCGTTTTTTGTGTTTGCTGCTCAGTCTTTAAAACCAAACGTTTCAAATTGCTGCATGAGTTTCCGTACGTGTATCATTATTAATTAATTTTCCTTTTCTTGTGCACTGAGGTCTCCTTTAATCTTTTGTTGTTTTCATCTATGCTGAAATAACCATGTCATTTTTATCTTCGGATTATTTCCTGTTGAAGGATTCCCTTAAATGGGATCGATGGATCCAAGACCCTTAATATTGCTATGGATTTTGATACATGTCACAGAATTACCTCCTGAAAAATTTGTAAATGTAGCTTGTCACCTCCATCAGATTTCAATACAACACTGATGTTGGTAAGTGTGCTTTTCCTAATTTTTGCTAATTTATTAGGTGTAAATGCCTTATTTTAACTCCGATTTCCATGTTAATGGTAGAAGTTAAGCATTTTCTCTACTTTTGTGTTCCATCTGATTTCAACTTTTGGTAGATTTTCCTTTGCTCATTTGTCTACTGGAATTTTAGTATTTTTCTTTCTAATTGTATGACTCCAAAATCACCTGTAGGAAAACAAGCAACAGTCTCTCTTGGGAGCTACAGAAATGAAGGAGTAGGTTAAGAGCCAGACGGCAGGGGGATGGTGAAGAAAGACACAAAATAGTACCTTAGGGTGTATTTTCATTTCTGAAGTTTCTCCAGAGTAATGATTATTACCCTTTTTTGAGATTATACATCCTTTTGAGATATGAGTCCTTATCCCCAAAGTGAACTTCACCTGTTGCATAAAATTTAAATGCATTCGTGGCCCTCAGGCTTATGCACAGACCTGTCTTAGTTTGGGAGTCTTTGTTTTGTAATATGGCTTTAGCTAAAGTACTCATTTAATTATTGATATTTTTAGCTACCTTAACAAAGAGCTTAGCTGTTATGTTTTGTTATGTTTAAAAGGTTATTGTTATAAATAAAATTCAACGTGGTCTTTATTTATTTATTTGTTTTACTTTTGGAGGGGAAGTAATTAGGTTTATTTATTTATTTATTTATTTACTTATTTTAATGGAGGTGCTGGGGATTGAACCCAGGACCTCCTGCGTGCTAAGCACGCACTCTGTCACTGAGCTATACCCTCCCCTGTTCTTTATTTCTCTTCCTTTAACTTTTTTTTTAAGGGGGGTTTTGAGGTTATTGCTGGGTGAACTTCAAAGTCCCAGGTAAGAGTATGACCTCACCATTCAGACTTCCAACTTCAGGTATGATGGTCCCAGTGATCTGGGAACCTCAGAATCTGAAACAAAAAAATAACAGATTGAGGCTCCCAAAGACTTCAGAGTGATCAGATACAGAATTTTAAATAATTCTGTGTAAAACGTTTAGTGTAAACAATTGAATCAAAAAATGAGCAAGAGACAAGTATAACAAAGGAGCTGGTAGTATTGGGAAAAACATTGAGCTTTTAGAAATAACAAATAATGTTTCTGAAATAAACATTCAGTAGGTGGGTTTAAACAGCAGAGTGAATGACTAAAGATGAATTACTGCGCTGAAAGTTTCAGGCCAAAAAAAGTTACACAGAATGCAGAACAAGGAAACAGGGTGATTCAATATATGACAGATGTGTCAAGACACTGTGAGGACAGCATAAGAAAGCCTAACGCAATCAAATCACAGCCCCTAAGAGGGAAATAGAGAGCAGGAAAAAGAATAAGAATCAATGTGTTAATATCTTAGAATATTCCAGAACTGATAAATAAAATGAATGCACAGATCCAGAAACACATCTCATTCAAAGAAATATAAATAAGAGGAATTCACACACAGACACGTTGTAATGAATCTGAGGAAATGCCAACATTAGAGATGATTTTACCAGTAGACTGACAGCTGACTTCTGGATAGCAATGGCAGCAGGAAGACAGTTGAATGCTGTCCTCAAAGTGTTGAGAGAAAATGAACAGTTAATACAGAATTGTATACCGATCGAAACTATCTAGCAAGAAAAATGACACAATGAAGCTACTTCCAGACAAATAATAAATGAGTTTACCACCAATTAGTCCTCATTAAAAAAATAGATACTCTTTTAAAGGGTGTTTCAAAAAGAAGGAATATGAATATGGATCAAGAGGCCTCGTGGTATGTCTGACCCCAGGTCAATCACTGAATACACACACACACACACACACACACACACACACACAGCCCTCTCCCGGACTGGCAGTGGTGCCAACACTCAGATCCCAGGTCCCCCTCTGGAGCTCTTCGGGAAAACCACTGTCATCCTGGGCTTTATAGAAAGGCCTCTTCTCTGGTCCCCTTTGTCCTCATCCTGGGGTTTCCTTCTGTGCTGGGGGCTTGAAATCCAAGCTTCCAGGGTCTGCAACTTTCTCTCCATCAACCACATCAGAACGCATAGCTTATTAACCCCAGAAAGGGCCTGAGACCAATCCCCAAATGAAAGGAACTGGACTTGTTGCAGGTGACGAAAGCATTCACTCTCCACTGTTCGAATTTCTGTGTGGACACAAGTTCAAATGCGTGCCAGCCAGGAGGCTCCCAGCATCCCATCCAGGATGACTCCTGTGGCCTTGGAGAAGCTCCTCCCCTGCCAGGAGCGGTCAGGTGTGCTGGTCCCCTGGATCACGTGCCGCCTTGCTTGTGGATGAGAATTCCATCTTCTAACTGCAGAGAACTAAGCACCTCACAGAGCACTCCCACAAACACAGGTTCGCTTTTAATCGGTCTTGGCAACCGTTCTATCAGGGAAGTAAAAAGTAGGTCAAGTAGCTCTCATTTTAGAGCTGGGAAGATGGAATCTCAGAGAGGAAGAAAGGCTTGTCTGGGAACAGTCCATGAGCACATGACAAGTTCAGGTTTCCTGACTACGTATCTTGTATTTTATTCATGAAGGAGGTGTTACGGTGGTGAAGTGGGCTCTGAGTCAAACAGCGCTCTGGACCTCCTCAATTTCCTCATCTGTAAAAATAGAGATAATAGTTACACATTCTAAAGACCATTGTGAAAGTTCAATGAGAAAGTCTACACGATGGAGTGACAGCTGTCATTAGTCATCGTCACTGTAGATGATTCTGGGGTCACCTCCCCCAGCCCCATCAGAACGGCCCACAGCTAAAGAGGCCCCATCTCCTCTCCAGGGGAAGCCTGCATCCAATGACCAGTTAATGAGGGGGAATAAAGGCCTGACTCCCCTGCCAGGGCCACCCCAGCTCCAGATCTCCTCGGGGACGGTGGAGGTCCATGAGACTTCAGTGCCCTTCAGTTCCTCTTTCTGCATGTCTTGCTTTCTTCAAACCACCTAGGTGTGGATCCTGAGATAAGCCTCCAATAAATGCTTGCCTGCCTGCCCGTCTCCACTGCATGCTAGATTCTGTGCACACACTTGAAGACCGTCCTCCATCAGCCAAGCATGAACCACAGAGGGGAGTGAATTCGCCTGGAACCCTCCTCACAAAGCCCTCTTCCTGGGGTAGCCGAGATGCTGATCTGTCTTAGGTGTATGTGCCCCGTGTTCTCGCAACAGACCAAGACAGGCAGGCGCTCCTGAGGTCCAAGTCTGTGACCCTGGCCCCCAGCACTGGGGACCTGCCAGCTGAGGTGGCCTGCAGGTCTGGGGCAACCCCAGACTCGGGGCCGTTCTGCTCCTGGGCACACGCTTCTTTCCCCAGTGATGCAATCCTGTGTAACAGACCACAGGTCAATTGCACGTTCCTGTTACCCAGCACAGAGCTGGCTTGCAGCTCAGTCTCTCCAGGAATTCTGACGCACCGCAAGACTCCATGGTTGCAATGCTTCTACTCTCTCTGTGAAAGCCCCTGGCCTCAGAAAAGGAAGTGTTCTCAGGTGACTAACATGTGAGGCAGGGCTTCCCAGGGCCCGGCCACCGTGGGACTTGAAACAAACAACAGAGAAATACCTTAGCTCAATTTTTTTTTCAAATTATATTTTGAGGGGGTAGGATCTCTGACTCTCCCCTCCCCGCCCAGATAAGCATACAATGGAAGAGGGAAAATGCAAACTGAAGAGTTGTTAGTCCTTCTCCCACATCCATCCAGATTGCCACCCCAAGTCCACCCTTCTGGAAGTTCCAGGGGCCCCAGTTCAGCCAAAGTCCAGAGCCCTGGGATGGATGGATAGGGGTCTGGATGCCAGGGCCCCCATCACCCTGTAGGCTCCTCCCCATTGCTTTTCCCCTTGAACTCGACGTTCTGGCTCTGACTGACTTAGGTCACCTGAAACCCTGAGCAATGCTTTCTTTCACTTTGGGGCCTCTTTCCCTTCCTCCTCCCCTACCTGTCGCGTCTCTCTCCCCTGACCCCACTCCCAAGCCTGAGTGGGGGGCCCCTGTTCTGTATGCCCAAAAAACCCTGTGCTGCCTGTATCCCTGCACACATCACTCTGGGATGTCGTTTTCTGAGGTGTGAGGGCTGAGTCTGGAGAGGACATGTCCACCTCACTCCCCTCTATGCCCCAGCGTCTAACTTAGCACCTGGCAGGAGCGGGGAGACTGGTGGGGGAGTGAATCTTCCTGGAGCAAATGAGTGTGCACTTCAGGGCCTGATTGTTGGTTGTTGTTGTGGGGACCAAGGCCACCTCAAACTGACAGCTCTACCGCTTGGCTGCTGGGAAAGCCCGAGGAACTGCTCCTCTTCCTTCCGATTCAGCTTGGACAACACCAGAAGGATGCAGCTTGCTGTGACTCAGGTCCTGTGCCCCATGCACTGTGACAGAGGATGGGGTGAGCAAAGAAGGAGCGGCTTGCCAAGATGAGGCGGCGTGCCTGGCAGGCAAAACCCCAGAGGATGCTACTGAAGGCGGGACTCACCCACAAACTCTGCGGGCCAGATGGCCTCTTCAGACGCAGGAAATGATGCTTCCTGCTGTCGACCTGGCCCTTCCTGGACTGTCCCTTCTGCAATTTCATGTTGATTGACTCCTCAGTGTCCTTCTGTGTTGCTTGTTGGCCTTTATGGAATTATTCAAGCGTTTGGTTACAGGAGGCAGACCAGCTTGAGCTAGCTTTGGCTGTGATGTGGAGTTTGTGGGACGGGACACTGGGACAGGGAGTGCAGGATCTCATGAGAGACCTCAACCAGGAACGTTCAGGTTTTGAGACATGAAGGCATCACTGTCAGCTGAAGGCCACCGCCTTCTCATTTCTGCGTCTGTCTATCTACTTCTATGTGCACCTGTGGAAAATAGCCATTCTAAAGCTGTTGGATTTCCCTCAAATTTACTTCTTCCTTTGGCCTCAGGACCTTGACATTGCTCTTCCTCTGCGTAAAACTGCCCCCTTCCCAAGCTCCACAGACTAGTCAACCATCCTCACCTTGAAGAGCTCAGCTCAGACAGCCATGTGTGTGATCGTCTGGGCAGCATCTGCCTCCCCGGCAGGTCACGGCAAGGACTGTGTGCGCTTTTTGTTCACCACTGTGTCCCTGACTCATAGCCTAGCACCTGCCGTGTAGAGAAATGAGTCAAAGAAAGGATGAGAAGCCACCACACATAGCGGCTCCAGGCTTCTCAGGTGCTCTGGGTGCCCGAGGCCACGCTCTGATCCTGTAGCTTTGGAGGAGTGGTGGGCGGCCTGAAGGAGAGAGTTTTGGAGTGGGCCAGGCTCTGGGGGTTTAGAGAGGCCAGCCAATGGTCCCTCTACCCTGGATGTGCCCAGTGTCAGGGGGAACCCCAACCTGTGTTCTGATCAACATACCAACCCTTGGCCCTGCCTGGCAGCCTGGTTTACTATTTCCCTACTGACCACAGGCCAGGGGAGACATCAGACCCACACCCTGCGAGAATATAGCTAATATTTCAGAGATGCTTCCTGTATTCTGAGCACCTTGTGTTTAGTAGCTCGGTCCTCACAATCCCACAGCAAGGTGGGCCACAGTCTTACCCTCATTTTCCAGATGTTCCCAGGATCACACAGTATAGATCATGGATCTGAGCTTCCGGCACCAGAGCCCGCCTCCCAGAGCGGCCCTCCTGATGTAACAATAGAAACGCATCATGGTGACAAGGAAGGTCCTGGGGCCTGTTCCTGGCTGCCCCAAAGCCCAACTTTCCAGGTTTACAAAATTCAGTTTCCTGGTTCATTAGCAAATAGGCATTTCTCTACAAAAGTGGCTTCAAAAATTCCCAGCCCAGCTCAGAGGCCTTGGCATTAGAGTTGGTGGGGCTGGGCAGCAGAGGGCAGGAAGTAAGGCACCCTGGGAAGTCCCTGCGGTTGGGGCACCAGAACGGGGGCCCTGCATCTCTCAGCCCGACTTCAGGCCCCGCGGGCCGAGCCCAGGGACCCTGGGGACGAGCCTGGGCCCCAGAGACAGGGCTGGGGGAAGTGAACTGCTCCTCCCAGACCCCGCTGAAGGATGACCTCTCCCGACAGAGGAGACAGGCTTGAAGGTGGCAGGACTAGGGGCAGCCACGAGGCTGGCCTGCCCTCCCCTCGCCCTAAGGCATTGCCTACAGTAAGGCCCTGTTTCAATGCACACAGTTCATGAGAACATTTTGTAGCCTGCGTTTCTTTCTGCCAGCCCCACACCTAGGGCAGGGCGGGGTAGGGCAGAGGGTCAGCTCCCTTTGCAATGATCAGAATGAGGCCTGGAGAACGGAAGGGACACATCAAGGGTCACGCAGCTCATTAGCTGCAGACCTGGGGACAGGACCTAGGACTTTGAGCCTTTGCTACGGCTCCCATGCACCAACTTGGATGGTTTTAAGGATTCCTGAGTTGTCTGCTCCCTCACGGCAGGGTCCAGGGGTAGGAAGCTAGCCAGCAGGTCCTTTCCAAATGGCAAAGAGAAGGTTTGGAAGTTAGCGTCTTCCAAAGAAGGTGGAGAGAGAGTGTCTGGCCTCCTGGACAGCTTCATGCCAGCGGGCAGCACAGGGCCTGAGGGTAACTGGAGGAGGGGGCGGGTACCTGCCGCTCCCTAAGCCATGTCCCAGCCACGCGGGCCTCCATCCAATCTCGATGATCCCACCCAAGGGCCTTTGTTAGCTGTTCCTTCCATCTGGAATACCCTCCCCATTCCTTGCCATCATTCAGGTCTCAGCTCAAGTGTCACCTTCTCAGAGAGGCCTTCCCTGACCACTTGCCTTAAAATCGCACATTCCCCACCTCCTCAGGTCTTTTGAAAAACTTCATGCCTTGTATCTCCCCTCCAGCATTTACTGCACGTGACGTCAGAGTGTTTATTTGTTTCCTCTCTTTCTTCCTCGGTTAGAACACCAGGGACCCTCTGTGACTTTCCCCCAGCGCCCAGGAGAATGCCCGAGACACAGGGTTAAGTCCATCCCTAATTATCTGGATGGGTGGGGGCCCACCCTCACTAATCCAGCTCTGCGCCTCACTGGTGACCTCCATTTTCACGCAGAGAAGAACCAGTTTGGCTTCTGTTGGCCTGAGTCATCCTTCTGGAAGCTGGGCTTGCCTACGGCCTTGGGGTGGCCAGCCCTGCCTGGGTATGCGGGAAGGCTGACTGGGGCTCCTCCTCTCACCTCCTCAGGTGATCAGGAAGGAAGGGGCAGCCCTGCCCCAGGAGGAATGGGTGGAGCAAGCACGGCCTGGGTGCTTCGTCCTGTGTAGCCGCCCAGTCTGGAGCCAGACGCTGGAAGACCTCGGCAGCCCTCGGATTCTCCCGGGCCCTCCCCAGCGCTTTTTGGTAAGCTCCTTTCCTCCTATTTTTCCATCTCACAAATGGAGGGGACAGTGCCTACCACTGGTATTTACTAAGGGCAAGCTTCAAGGGGAATGACAAGCACATGGGTTTCCAGGCCTGTCTGGGAGACCTGGCCACCGTGTGGACAACAGTCTCCTAGGGGAGATGGTGCCAATGCTCTGAGACAGGGGCTGGGGGAGCAGGTGACAAGGCAACCCTCCTGCTGTGAGAAAAATCATGGCGCCCATGGTGTCCATCGGTCATTTCCCACTATTGCTAGCGATGTGGAAATTGGAGAAATATTTCTTTGAAAAGAGAGAAAGAACAGCGTGAGCTCCATGAGAAATACTAATAGAAGCTGGCCCTCAGCCGTAAGTCTGAGGGGTGGAGGGGGCATAGAATCAGGAGCCGTCGCTAGTCAGTTCCAGGAGATGGTCAGTTCCAGCTCCAGATGGCCAGAACTTCTCATTTTCCAGAAAGAATCAGAGTTTGTGGTGTGTACTATTCTGATAAAATAAAGCAATGATTGAATAAATAAAATATTTGCTCTATGAGCTACTGGTTTGCAACCTCTGGTTAAAATACACATGGGGCAGAGAAAAGAGCCTAAGATTGGCGGTGTGAAGACCCAACATCTAATTTTAGGTTGGCCTCTAATGGGTACACTATTTCTCCTTTCTGGGTTGTACTTTCCTCGATGCCAAGATGAGGCTGGCAAACTTGGGGTTTCGAGGACACAGTGACAACTGATACTCCCATGGTGCTTACTACATGCTGGGAGTCCTCCTGAACTATGTACATGGTTAATCTCATTTAATTTTCACAACAACCATATGTGGAAGGACTATTATGGTTCACATTTTCAGAAGAGGAAACTGGAGCATAGAGAGGTTAAGTAATTTGCCCAGGGCCAGACAGCCGGTATCAGGGGAGAAGCTGGGCTTGACAGCAGACGGTCTGTCTCCAAACCACTGGGTATGCTTTAGGCGCACAGACGCCTAGTGAGATCACGGAGGGAGAAGTGCCTTGTAAACCACAGCAGTGATGCCAGGAGGAGCAAATCTTCCCCCTTTCCTCAGTGGCTGTAACAGTCTCCAGTGGGATGTGTTCAACTGTTAGCCCACGGTCTTATGTACCTCTAAAATGTGTGAAGGAAGATGCCGCTCCCAGAGCCAAAGAGTGAAATGTGAAGAAATCCCTATACTCGTAAAAGATTGCATCCAAAATATTTGAAACCAGCACATCGCAGGTGCTAAATAAAATGCATAACTTGAGTTGGATTGAATTGAGGAGACAGGTGCATGTAAGTCCAGTGAAGACACCATGGTTCCTGGGAGGAGGAACCACGTTCTCCATCTAAGGCCAGGAGCACAGGTGTTACCAGTGATGCCAACCAGAGAACAGGGCTTTGAGAAGAGAGAACCTAGAGAGATTCATGGTTTGACAGAAGAACTGGGAAAGTGAGGACAGAGGACAAGGATGAAGATGGAGCCACCCCATGCGTATTCTGCATTACCTTGGATAGGCCATTTCTCTCAGTGGACCTTTCCTTCCTCTCCACGTTGCTGAACTTACAGCTAATGTATGTAGAGGAGGAGGAGGAGGATGTGAAAACAATGACAATGAAAGGACAAATCCTTTCTACCACCTAAGTTTGAAAACAATTTTAAGCTACTAGTTGACCATATCTTGATTACATAGTTGGAGGAAATTAAATACGAATGGCTTAATTAAAAATTAACTTGATCAGAATGAGAGGAATTGATCAATATTGTATCTGCTATAGTCTCTTTCCTTGAGTGGAAAACTTATTGAGGTTTTGGGCTATTCTTGTGTGCTTTGTCTATCTGTCTGCTCATCCAATAAAACGGACAACGTCACTGCTAACTGTGCCTGCAATTTGCAGTGCTAGCCACCAGATGGCACCTTTTAAGGGTTCATATGAAAAAGTGACCAATCATCTCAGTTTTCCAGGGACTCAGGGGTTTCCCAGGATGCACAGCTTTTAGTATTAAAATCAGGAAAATCCTGGAAAAACCAGGCCGGTTGGCCACCCTAGTCAATAACCAGGTAAAGAGGCTTCTCTTTAACCTATGTCAGGTTTAAAATCATTCTTTTCTTACTACATCCTTTCTTTTCTTCCTGGAATTTCCAAGCAATTGTGGAATAAATCACTGCTCTATGAGATGCGAGTTCAAACCAAAAGGAGCAGCATCAGAACAAATACAGCTCTTTTTCCTGTTAACTGTGCAATGAAGCAGAGAGGAAAACACGTTAGCTGCCTCTCTGGCAGGACTTCAGTATAAGAATTGGGCTCAGCCAGCATCTGGGGCAAGTGATTTAATCTCTCTGAGCCTTGATTTCTTATTCTATAGAGTGAGTATAAGTACATACGCATCTTGAGAGTGGGTGTAAATATACCCACCTTGCACAGCTATTATGAGGACAAAACAAGGTCTGTAAGAAAGAGTAGAACACAGAAGCTGAAGCATTGCAAGCAAGGAACGAACTCGTTCCCTCCCCCCAAGTTCCCATCCCTCTCCCTCTCCTCCTGCCTGCAGAGAAGTTGCTTACAAAGCTAATCATCAAAGCCCAGAAGGCAAGAGCAAATACTTTCCTCAGCAAACACAAGATAGCCAGATAAACAACGGCTTTCAATGCAGATCCGTATCAAACCCAGAAACTGCTGGAACAAAGATCATTTTGGAAGACTCCGAACCTCAGAAAGGATTCACAGTCAGTTCACCATTTAAACCCAGGAGGAGAGCAAGCTTCTTGTAGAGTTGCAGTCAATCACAGTTGGCTTTATATGCAATCTCCTGACCTTCGCCAGCCAGGAGGGCTGACTTGGTCGCTCTGATGGCTGCATCTGTGTGGGCAGAGAAGCCCAGAACACCTGTCTCCAAACCTGACCTGATGCTCTAGGGAGGTCTACCGGATTTGGTTAAAATTGACTTAGCTGCCTGGCAGTCCTGGGTAGGTGGAAACAGACAAAGAGAAGACATCAGATTATATTCTGGGGGCTTGTGTTTCTCATCCTTTTCCACCTCTTTGTATTAGTATATTTACTCATCTTTTGGAAAAGGTAACTGGAGTCCTTGTACCATTATCTTAGTAAAAATTTACAGAGTTTGGACATTATGACTGCCTGCATTGTGTGAGGTGCGCTATTATAACACTCAGGCATTCAAGAATTGGGCTGAAGAATCTAAATATGGGATTAAGTCATTACAACAGAAGGTGCACAGCTGTCCACCCAAAGCCAGCTGCTTAAACGTTTACCAAGGCTACTTGGGTAACGACAAATGCAGCTCCAGGAGGCACAGCTGAAAATATTTGCGCCAACATTCATTGTGGTTTCCTGATGAACTGAATGTATCAGTAGGGATTGCTTTGTGCGGGGGTGACGGGACTGTGGGATGAGCCACTGGGCTGAAGAGGAGGGAGACTGGAGTTGGAATACGTGGAGACAATTTCATTCCAGGAAGACTGAAGGGCAGTTAAATCTCCCTGCCTGGTAGGGTACTGGAGCCAGCAGGACCCCATCTCTTCCCAGCTCTGCATTCAGTGATGTCACATGGGTGGCTTGAACTCATCCATGACGGTTCATTGACACCTGAGAAACTGGCAAATGCACCAATCAGAGCTATATTTGGAGCTCTGGCTGTCAATATCTCCTGCCAAGATGAGTGTTACACCGCTGCCCTGATTTCAGGTTCAATCACCCCTAGACCTCTGTCCGAGTCTGATCCATCTGTCCACTGTCTCCAAGATGATTTTAATAAGACGAATCTGACCATGTCACCCTCTGATTCAGTTTTCTTTTAGATAAATTCCCCGCTCCTTGGAGTGGAATTAAAGGCCCTTCCTTCTTGGCTGCCTGTTCAACTTTTCAGTCACTTCTTTGGACAGACTTATGGGGCTTGGGGTCGGGGGAGGATACAGTTTGAACTTTGTCTCGCACTGGGTCGGAGGAGCCTTCCACAAGCAGCCCCGATGTAGGCTGGGGTCCTGGGGCACCAGGAGTGGACGGAAATGCGGCAGCCCGCACGGTTACTGGAGCCCAGTCCTGAATCACCTCAAGCCCTTTTTGGGTGAAATCACCTGGGGCTGCAGTGCTCCCAGCCTCAGTGCCCAGCAGGAGCAGACCAAACTGTGTCTGGACACACACGACATCGTCCAGAGCCATGAACTATCCCTACAGGTTTTGCAATACAGTGTCCAGCCCTCAGGAAAAAGGACTCAGGCACATGCAAGACAATCCGCACACCAGAGAAACACAAATGATAGAAGGAAACCCAGCAGGGACTCAAATATTGGAGTCATCAGGGGAAGCCTTTGCAGGAACCATGAATGAATAATATGACCCAGGATTTAAAAGACAAGATTGCAACTTTCGGCAGAGAACTAGAAACTATACAGAAAGAGGAAGCAAACGGAAATCCTAGAACTGAAAGGTGCCATTAGCTGAAACTGAGAAAGAGCCAGCATGTATCAGACACTTCCTATGTGGCCGGGCTGCCCTGAGCACTTCAGAGGCATCAACAATTGAGGCTCACCATGTGGTCTCCGTGGAACGTGTCTCATGTCACTTCTGGGACGTGGACTCAGCCTGAGTGTCTTGTTTACCTTTAAGAGGGTCTTAGTCATTTCTGATGTCTAGCAGGGCAGGCTCTGCACATAGGAGCCTCCAAGTACAAGCGTGATGCTGGGAGCTCGGGGGAGGAAGCACAGGGTGCTGCCCGCGGAGGCAGAGTCCACTTCATGGTTTGGTCATTAACCTTAATTCAGGAAGTGGAGTGAAGGGCTGAGCACCAGAACCGAGAATGTGTTTAGTCAGTGATGTCTCACGGGTGGGCAGAAATCACAGGGAGGCCGACTGCTTTGATGAGACGGAACCAAGAGTGGAATTGTGGTCAGAAGCATGAGGAAACAGAGAGGAATTCTCCTCCCCACTTACTTCCTCCACCGACCCACAGGCATGAGAGCCTTCCCTTTGGAGTGAAGCAGGCTTGCAGGGCAGGTTGGCCGGATCGGATCAGGATCCGGATGGAGGCACTGTGATGGACCCCTCCCACTTACCTGGGGTGATGAAGCAGACCTACGTAAGCGCGCTCTATTGTCTGCGTAGCACCTACGTGCCGAGGTCTGGGTTAAGTACATCCTGTGCAATGTCTCCATCCTCACAGCAACGCATGACGAGGCTTCCTTCTATTTTTGGCCCTGTCTAATGGATAACGAAACTGAGACCCCGAGCGCTCTGGCACGTTGCGTGGGTGGACCAGCTCGTAAGTGACACGGGGGACACAGCCCCCGTGCATGTCTGACTCCATAGCCCAGCCCCAGGGACTCCCTCCCCCAGTTCCAGAAAGGACTGCTGGGCCACTTTAGGGGGCACAGTAAGAAAAGGGCACAGACCTGGGAGGCGGGGCAATCCAGGGCCTCTGCTTTTGGGGAGAAATCTGTCTCTTTGAATTTGGATTAGGGACAGAGGAACATTGGCCTGGACGAGACTTTGGCTTGGAACACTGAGGGCGGGGAGCCAGGAGGGAGCGCCTCGGCCTCACCTTGGCAAGTCACTGCTCTTCCTTGGTGATCACTCCTGAGTGATGCTGATTTAACGATTGAGGAGGGCTTCAGGAGTAATCCAGAAAGACAAGTGGGGAGAACTTACTGTGGTGGGGGGCTGTAGCTGCCTTCCCTTACAGCAGGTGTGATGACCATGTATGCACCCCATAACTCGTAAGTGTTCCAGAAATGAGAAACCCCTATTCAGCAAATACTGGAAGTGGCAAATAACCCAGCGGGCCCACACGTTGCCTCCTTCAGCCAGCCCTGACAAAAACAAGCCCAAACAAACAAACCCCCTGGCCCTGAAGGTAGACATTATCTCTTGCACGTGTTTCAAAGGTGAGGAGCTCCCTCAAGGTCACACAACTTGTGAGAACAGAACAGGGAACGCGAACACGCCGTTTAGCCCAGCTCAGGGTATACAATGTTTGCAGAAATATTCCATTTGCTCTGAAAGAGGTGCTCTCTAAAGATTTGAGAAATTTATTGGCAAACTTCCTCTTTAAAAACATTTCACATTGAGGTACGAGTGACATTGAACATTATGTGAGTTTCATTATGTGTAACATAATGATTTTTCCACCACCATAAGTAGTTATGCAATTTTTTTTGCTTGTGATGAGAACTTCTTTTGAATTTTTATTTATTTGTTTCTGGTTAATGGAGGTACTGAGGATTGAACCCAGGAACTCATGCATGCTAAGCACGTGCTCCTCCTCTGAGCTACGCCCCCTGCTCCCTGTGGTGAGAACTTTTAAGATCTACTCTCTTAGCAACTTTCAAATTCCTACCGTAGCCTTCCTCTTTGACAGATTTTACCCTCATTTGGACACAGACCCGCTGCTGTAATTGGATGACCTCTGGGTGGGAGTTAGGAGACCTGGATTTCTGGCTATAACGTTGTCACTGACAAGCTGTGTGACCTTGGGCAGGTGTCCTTCCCTCTCTGAGTCTTTCTGGGTCTTCTTCAGAAACAGTGAAGGGCTCAGGTAGGAGGATGCTGAGCGCCCATCCAGTTCTCAGATCTATGCTCTGCACTAGCATTACATCCTCCCTTTCTCCCTCCCTCCCTTCCTTCCCTCCTTGCACCGTGAGCAAGACATACTCAACCTCATTCTGAGCATGAGGAGAGGAAGCAGAAGCCCAAACAGGTGAAGGGACTTGTTCCAGGTCACACGGGTGGCAAACTGCAAGGGGTGGAGGTGGATTTTAGATTCCTTTCCGAACCACGGCTGAGTTCACCCCGTTTTCCCGAGACCATAACTTCAAAGACGTCTCTAACAGGAATAGAGCTGGTTTCAGAGCCGATCTCAGGAAGTTTACTCTAGGCCGGGAGTCAGCAGACTTCAGGCCAAATCCAGCCACCACCTGCTTTTGTAAATGAAGTCGTATCAGAGCACACTTAGCTTGTGGGATTATGGATTGTCTAAGGCTGCTTGGAGTCTGTGACTGTCGGGTTGAGTCATAGTGACGTTCGGCCCACAAATCCTAAAGTGTTTATTATCTGGTCCTGGACAGAATGTTTGCCAGTCCCTGGTCCAGAGTCCAGCAAAGCTGTCCCTCCGTCAAGGGACGCGAAGTGACCTGCGTCTCCCACGTGCGCTGAGAGCCCCGCCACCTGGCTTACTGGAGGAGGGGACATTTCTCCTCCAATCTCTTTTTTCAAAGTCTCAGGAGACCTGTCAGGCAGATGAGAGGATTTGGTTTTCATGGGTCCTTCTTCCCAAGAACTCAGTGAAGGGGAAACAGAAATCTCAATTTTGGGGAAATTGCACAGAGGAAAAGGGGAGGGAATGGGTTACGACACCCCCGTTGCGACACTCAGCAGGGCTGAAAGTGACAACAGCAAGGTTTCTGGTTTTGGAAATGTGAGGGCGTTTCCGCTTCTCACAGAGCACAGGGCGGCCACAGCCTGGTTTGGGTGAGCGACTCTTTTCTTTATAAGCAGCTCCCCTGGGTCCGGCATGGCAGTCTCCCGTTGCCTCGTGGCCTCAGGATGGAAATCCGCAAGGGTCCCCACAGTTACCTAATCTCTCTCCTCCTTTTCCTGTTTCATTCAGAGACAGCCGGCCATCCCTTGGGAAAAAGACCCTGCGAGATGCAGGCCTACAGGTAAGGCTGATGCCCCCGGAGGTAGGGCCGGACGGGTGGGGACCGGGGACACAGCCATCTGCAGGGCCTGAAAACTGGGTTTGGTCCTGAAAGGGATGCTCGTGTTTCAGGTACGGGGCTGCTGCATGCCAGGTCCTCAAGGCTTGTATTCTGAACTATCCCAGATACGCAAAGCTCGGCTGGAGGCCTGGCTTACTTTCCCAGAGACCATGGCGAGGTGATGAGTGACAGACACGTGTCCGGAAGCCACGACGCTGGGGTTAGGACCTGGCAGAGTGTGCTGGGCTGAGGGATGCCAAGGGCAGGGCAAGGCCCAGAGCGCCAGACTGTGTGTGAACAATGCCTGTCTGTGTTGAAAGTTGGAGGTCCTGCTCCCCTGGGGCCTCAGTTTCCCCATCGGTGACATGGGGCTATGCTAACCCTGCCAGCCTTACAGGATGGTCATGAAGGTCAAATGCACGAATAACAGTGCAACAGTGTTTTGTCCATGGGCAAGTGCCTGAAAATGATTGGGATGGTTAAAAATTGGGTCAGAAACTTTGTGAGATGTCACCATTGTTAAACTAGCAGGCTGTGATGCTGATAAAAACAGAGCACTGTCTGCGTGTGCCCTCTGGGCTGGGATATCCCTGGACTGAAGCTGTGTTGGGGTGACCTCACCCTCCAACTCCGAGCTTCTCTGCCCTGAGGCTGCAGGCTGGGTTCCTCCCCTTCCCAGATGTGGGAACTGCGCCTCATGGGGCTTTGCCTCGGCCTCTTCCCGGGGGCTGGGAGCTCAGGAGACGCCCCCGGAGGCCTCTAGTAAGGGATGCTCAATCCCTTCAGATGGGATTAAACTCGTTCAGGAATGAAGAATAATCGCAAAAGATCAAATCTCACGTGTGCAAAGAAATTTACAGTTGGCCGGATCCCCTGTCACCGAGCTCCCCGGCTCCTCAAAGCCACCTGATGACTCTTTGAATTTGCATTTAAATTCATAAAAATAGAATAAAATAAAAAAATTCAGATCCTCAGTCACATCACATTTCAAGAACTCATTGGCCCTACGAGGCTGGTGGCTACCATATTGGACGGCGTGGACATAGAACATCTCTGCACCCTAGAAAGTTCTGTTGGGTGGTGCTTTGCTGCAGTAGGAGGCGGTTGCTCTGGGAGGGTGAGGAGCGGGTAGGAGGCAAGTGCACCGCTTACCAGCTGTGGGAGCTGGACCTGTCTCTTATCCAGTGTTGACCTCAGTCTCCACATCCATGCTATGGGTTGGTTAAAATCTGCACCCCCAGCAGAAGGCTGGACCCAGATTGGGCGAACTCTGGGGAACACAGGGAGGGGCTGAGCACAGGGCTGGGCACTCAGCATGTGTTCATTATGGCGGGGCCCTTTTGCTTTTCAGAATCTGGGATATCAACCAGAAGACCTTCTACCTGAGGAATAACCAACTAGTTGCCGGCTATTTGCAAGGACCAAATACTAAATTAGAAGGTGAGTGGTGGCCACGAAGGCCACTTTGCCCGGGGTCTGCAGCGCTGTGTTCTGACCCTGAGGCCTTTACGTGTGATGTCCTAACCCCTATTGGTTCTTTGTGGCCTAGTTTGAAACGGAAGGATGCGTAGGAGGGCAGCCTAAGAAGGCGGAGAGGGGTGGAGCCGAGGTTGGGAGCCACCACCTGCAGGCACAGTGCTCCCAGGGCCGCAGCTTGAAGGGGCAGGACCCAGAAGACAGGAGCAGCTCTGTCCTTCCCCCGTGTCTAGGAAGCCCCCATATTCCTCTGTGTTCAAACTGTCCCTCCCACCCAAAATCAATACACCACAGACAAGGCTGGCTTCTGTCCCTTACTCACGGACACCACATTGTCATGCTCTGGATCAACGTCAAGCTGGATGAACTGGAACAAGGGTCACCCACACTGCTCCTCAGCTTTCCCTTTAGTAAAGGGAGGGGAGTTGGGTGACTCAGTGTGGGGTTTTCTCAGCACTGGCCCCCAGGTGCTTTCTCACCCCTGCAGGCTGGTGTGGTATTGTAGAGTGACATCATCTGCGTCCCATTGTCCCCTCCCCTTGCCTTGCTCTCAAAGGGTGCGAGACCCACCTTTCCTGTCCTTCTGCTATTTCTCCTTAAAGAGGACCCTAAAGCACAGAGAGGCTGAGACTTTCCCTCCTACATGAGGGCATGGAGACCACCGAGGGGAAGAGGCAGGTTCAGAGTTACCCCAGCTTCTCGGGGGCGAGCCCTGGAGCCCCACTCCCGACCTTGGGTGCTGTGTTCCCTGCCCTGTTGACCTGGAGAGCAGGTGCCCAGGGGAAGGGAGGGGAGGCTGGAAAGCACCTGGGGCAGAATCTAGGGGCCTCGGTCTTTGAGGACAGCTAGAGAGGTGCTTGGTGTGAACCTGTTTGGATGCAGACCAGGAAGGTGGGGCCTCGCTGTCCTTCTAACCTTGGGGTTTTGATTAGGGGGCCAGAAAAACTCCCAGGGAGAGTCCAGGCTGCTCTCTTCACCACCTCTGTCTCCTCTCCTTTACAACCTCAACTTCCCCTCTGTTCTTCCCCAGAGAAGATAGATGTGGTGCCCATCGAGCCTCATGCTTTGTTCCTGGGGATCCAAGGGGGGAAGCTGTGCCTGGCCTGTGTCAAGTCTGGTGATGAGATCAAGCTCCAGTTGGAGGTGAGGACCTGTTGCAGATAACAGCCCCCTGCCCCAAACTCAGTGGCTTAACACAACTGCAATGTGCCCTTTCCTGTGATGCTGTGGGTGGACTGGGATCTGCTGGGCGGCTCTGTGCCACATGGTGGAGCCGGCGTTCCTCCTGCAGCCGCGTGCAGTAGGAAGCGTGGCTGGCGCTGGGGCTCACCCTCCAGGCTCCGTTTGCAGGGAGCTCTAAGTTCAGTTGTCAGCTTGGGCTTCCTTACAACATGGCGGCTGGCTTCCGGGAGGGAGGACTCCAAAAAGACAATCCTCAGTGTGCAAACGCTTATTAAATGTCTGCTGGTATCTTACCGCTAGTGTCCCATGGGCCAAAGCCAGTCTTATGGCTACGTCTAGCCTCAATGAAGGAGGGGACTACCCAGGTGTGGCCCCCAGGAGGCGTGGTTCCTTTGGGGAACCTCAATCTCTGTGTCACTCTCTCGCCCAAGGGCCCCTAACCCACTTGAACTTGCCCTCTTCCAATAAAGCCAGCCTTCATGACCTTTCTCTTCCAACCCTTATCTACTCAAACCCATGACTTGAGACCCCAGCCAGGGCCCTGGATTCCTTGGTCCTGTGCAGTAGGAACAGGCGGCCAGCCCTGGGAAAAGACGGCACTGTTTTGGAGAGTGACTGTCTGCTCCGTGTGGGGCAGGAATGACCAGGATATTGTGTGTAACGTGTCAAATGGGC